TTAATTTTGTTTTTTTTTTGGGAGAGGTACAGGGTATTTAAGAGTTGAGCCCGCTCAAAATGTGGACAGTGGGCATGGTTTTGGAAAATTTGAACTCAAAAGGGGGGAAAACTAACTCTAACTCTAACTTAAAACTTAGTTTGTATACGCTCAGAAAGAATACAAAAAAAAAAAAAACTGTATACATGGTTTTTCGCTTTTTTCCTGGGGCCTAAATTATAGGGATTTTCCCATATGCTATCAACGCACAGCCCAAACGGTAATAACTAGAGTGCTTAAATTTTGACACAAGTATGGCAGTAAGTAAATATGAGTCCGTATGCCAAGTTTCATCATGGGTTAATTATGAAGAAAGTTATAGCCATAAATATCGAACTCCAAAATTTGTTTGAAAAATCTTAATTTTTTCACCGATCAACTTCAAATTTGGCCTTTAAGCCAGAGAAAGAATACAAAACAAGAGAGAACGCTACAGTCGAGCAAGCCCGACAGTAAAATACCCTGTACTCTCCACAAAAAGGAAAAATTAAAAAAAAAAAATTTTTTTTTAATTAAATTATTAAAAAAAATGAATGAATTAATTAATTAATTAAATTAAATTAGAATACATGTTTATGTTCAGTTTTAACAGCATACATTTACATCACGTACCTATGCGTGTTTATATGCGTGTATGTATGCAGCACAAAGTTGAACAAAAGCAGCAACAACAACAACAGCTGCGGGCAGCGCTGCCGACAGAGCTGCAGGCAGCGCATGAGCAGCGATTTTACTTATGGCTATAACTTTCTTCAGAATTGACCTATCATGATGAAATTGGCATACGGACACATTAGTACTAACTGGAAGTACCTACCAAAATTGATTTTAAAATTCCGAGAATTACGGAAGTTAAAAGAAAAAACACGAATTGCGGGGGAGTGGGGGGTGTATCAGAAAATATAAACAAACTCGATCTGCCTAGGGCTTATAGGAACCTTGATACCAATTTTTATCCTAGCTCTTGTACTTACTGAGATCCTTGCGCTCATACAGACAGACGTACAGACGGTCAGACGGACAGACAGACAGACGGACATGGCTATATCGACTCGTCTTGTCATCCTGATCAAAAATATATATACTTTGTGGGGTCTACCACGCCTCTTTCTGCCTGTTACATACATTCGCACAAAACTAGTATACCCTTTCACCCTTTGGGTACAAATTTAAAAAAACTGTATACTCTGTTTTTTGCAATTTTTGTTTGAGTTTTTATACTCTCTACATGAAATGTACAAGAGTATATTAGGTTTGCGGGAGTTGAAATATGTAACAGGCAGAAGGAGGCGTGGCAGACCCCACAAAGTATATATATTCTTTATCAGCGTGACAAGACCAGTCGATCTAGCCCTGCCTGTATGTCTGTCCGTCTGGATCTCAGGGACTATGAATTTGTTTTGTTTGTTTTATTTTTTTGATTTTCCCCCCACTTCCCCCCTATGGAGGTTTTCCCGATTTTCCATTCGTATAATCGCCTATATCTGGGAGACTATAAGACCTAGGAACACCAAATTTTAGTCCAAGATGCCTTGTGTAAATACGCAGAAAATGCATATTTTGGAATTTCCCTCCCTCCCCCCTCTCCCATGCAATCGCGATTTTCTCTAACTCTAACCGAAACGTACCGAACTAGCCCCCAGTTAGTAATTATGTGTCCGTATGCCAAGTTTCATCATGATAGACCGATTTAACAAGAAGTTATAGCCATAATTATATTTGCTGCTGCAGCGCTGCTCAAGCCCTGCCTGTAGTTTTTAAATTGAAAACATATAATAGTGTTGAATTGCAAAATCTATATATATAAATCAGTTTGTCCTAACTGACTGACTGACTGATTGGTGATCAACGCACAGCCCAAACGGTAAAGGCTAGGAAGCTGAAATTTGGACTCAAGTATCCTTTCATAGTCTAGGTCCCCACTAAGAAGGGATTTTGGAAAACTCGAGCTCCAAAGAAAACAGGCTCCAACGTTTGTATGAAAAATCCGCATTTTTCAACCGATCGACTTAAAACTTAGTTTCTAAAATCAATTAAAGAATACAAACAAAACTGCATACTCGTATTTTCGAAATTTGTGTTGGAGCTTGAATTATTGGGGTTTTAATATTTATTCACAATTTCAAATGAAAAGTTTGTGTTATAAATTTAGTCCGATCGATTTAAAATTTGGATAATGTAATCTACGTAACTAAATCTACAACTTTGCATTCAAGGATTTTCTAAATATGCATTTTACAAAAGCAGGGAGAACAAACAATGCAAAATATCAAACAGTTGGGGACAACTAAGTATACACACACACACACATGCAAACAGCTGTTCGTGTAGTTGCGTGCAAACGATTGAAATAGCCAAAGCAAAATGTGAGACAATAATGTGTGAATGTCCATAGATACATATGTATGTACATTCGTCTTGCACTGACAGAGCAAGAAATGTTAATTAATTGAAAATTATATAATATTTTTAAAAGTAATTTTTTTTTCTTTGTTTAGTGCATTTGGCATTCGGGTTTTCATTAATAGCTTTATGCAGCAACAACAAATATCAAATAGTTGGGGACATCACATACACACACTCACACACACAACAAGCAACAGTTCGTGTCTATGTGTGCGGTTCTCTACGTGCGGTTGAAAAAGTAAAAAGAAACATACATACATATGTATGCCTGTGTATGAATATAGCATGTATGTACATTCGTATTAATGTATACATTGGGAAATCGAACACAGTTGTTTGATTGTAAAAAAAAAATAATGCTCTAAAAACAACAACAACTGCAAGTCATTAGCTCGCTCTTCTTCTTTCGTTTTGACCATTTAATGTTAATTGCAAAGGCACAACGCCAAAAGTTTACACTTACCGTCGCTAGGCAACGACTGCGTAAGCGATAGTAAAGCAGAAACCGAATAATGGAGCTACGCATATTCTGCTTCGCATTGCGGGCAGATGTATGTATGTATGTATATGATTTGTTCTTATTGATCTCAATAAATAATTCGATTTCATTATTTAAATATTCTGCTTATTGCATTCAAACTTCGATATTTTGATGGTATCGGTGCCAGTAGTTTTTGATCGTGGCTCATCGCTGCACGGAATTGACACGAGTGCCGTGTTTCATATTCCGAGTTTGTGCGTGGCCGTATTGACTCAATATGACACGAAAAGACTCAAATGTGAATTTAAATTTGGACTCAAGTATCGTTTCATAGTATCCATCATAGTGTAGGAGCACACTAAGAAAGGCTTTTGGAAAATTCTAACTCCAACGGGGGGAAAACGAGCTTTAAAAAATATTAGTTATAGTGGTCATGTTCGTTTAACGAAATAGTTTGTCAAGAACAAAAATGTAACGGACTACTGAACAATTTTTTGTCAAGAACAGAAAATGTTCATTTAAATACCTTAAATGCCTTCCTACTGGTAACCTTTAAGGTGAAAACATATGGGTAGGTTATGCACACACCATATAAATACAATGGGAAACATATTTAGCCGGGTTAAGACGGGCATTACCTGCTAGTTTAATATATAAGGGTAAGAACATATCAGGGTTGCCAGACGTCCCAGTTTTGTTCGAACATGAATGTGACTCGTGGCATCGGCAAATGCGCAAAAAGGCACACATCTGATCCAAGGAACACAAACAGGAGGCGATGGATATCCTTTGTACAGACGAATAAAGGTGGACGATGCACTGTGGTGCCTTAGACCGAAACAGCTTGCGAAAATCAAAATGTTCATGAACGCTTTGGGGACAAATACAAAAGACTTAGTTTTTATAGCCTGTACCCAAAGGGTAAAAGGCTATATTAGTTTTGTGCGAATGTATGTAACACACACAAGGAGGAGTGGCAGACCCCTCAAAGTATATATATTCTTGATCAGCATGACGAGACGAGTCGATCTAGCCCTGTCTCTCTGTCTGTCCATCCGTATGAACACCTGGATCTCAGAGACTATAAAAGCTATAGACACCAAATTTTGCACAAAGATGCCTTTTGTATGTACGCTGTGGAAGTTTGTTTTTTTTTTTTGATTTTTACCCCCACTTCCTGATTTTCCATTCGTGTAATCGCGTTTATCTCGGAGACTATAAGACCTAAGGACACCAAAATTTAGTCCCAGATGCCTTATGTGAATACTCAGAAAATGTGTATTTTGGAATTTCCTTCCCTCCTCCCCCGCATATCGTAACTCCCGTTGGAATTTCGAACTCAAATTTTGCAAATTCCCCCAGTAAGTTATTATATGTCTGTAGATTAATATAAAAAATTTAATTTTAAAAATATTTTCACAAAATTTTGTTTTGTGGGAAAGGTTAGAGGCTATTTAAGAGTTGAGCCAACTTGACTTAGCATTCTTTTCTTGTTGAATTAAGTAGGTTTTAGCTGAAAACTCACTCCAGTCTTATATCGTGTACCCAAAAGGTAAAGGACCATACTAGTTTTGTGCGAATGTATGTAACACACAGAAGAAGGCCTGACAGATCCCCAAAAGTAAATATATTATTAGTCGTCCATATTAACGCTAGGATCTCAGAAAGTAGAATAACCAAACTTGGTATTGAGATTCACCTAAGTCCAAGAAAGTACGAGCTTGGGTTTTATTCCGATGCTCCCACGCTATAAATGATGTTCCATAACTCCCGCAATTCTTTGAATTTCGAATTCTTGTCAATACATCTTTAGTTCAATTATCTGATTCACGATTCTGATGTAAAAGTATGCTGTTGAAACTGTACATAAATGTATTGGTCCACTTGAATATTCGGCATTTAATTAAGTTAATTTTCTTATTGATCAAATATTTTTTTAAATTAATAAAAAAAATTTTTTGGGATTTTTGTGGGAATGAGTCCAGGGCATTGGAGAGTTGAGCCCACTCGTCTCTAGCATTCCTTTCTTGTTTTTATTTTAAGTCACAAGATAATAAACTTAGTATGTACTTACCCTGACACAGGGAAAGGCGTACAACTGCGGGCACGGCGTACAACAGGAGTGTGTAAATCCCTAATCAAAGACTGTGCCCGATTTCGAATCCTGCTCGTTTCCTCCGAAAAAGTCTAAATATTTTATACCAAAAAAATGATTTGCTTAATATGCCGACATAATACGCTTGAGGTTTAAATTAACTGGAGACTCCATTCGATTAAATGCGACAACTTACGGTAAAGGGTTCAGTGTTCATATAATTTGTTAGAGCCCGTGCGCCATATCCGGGAGGGAATCTCTTTAGATAGGAAGGTGTTACTCGCACCGGAGAGCTTTCGATCCGCACCGGTGACAGAGACCGGGCATATACACGGGTTATTTTTGTTGGATTATAGTAGTACGATGGAGTATATGTTGTATACGTGGAGGGGATATAGGTTGAATAATAGGTTGATGGCGAGTATGTTGAGGGCGTACTATATGAATATGAAGAGATTTTCTCCGGCGATGATACCACGCGCGTTGTCGTACGAACAATGCGTATCGGTGATTGCGAGTGGATGACTCGCGATACGATACGAGTAGGAGATGACACAACTCGAACGGGCGACGATACAATTCGTGTTCCAGTCACGACACGCCTTGGAATTGAATAACTCGAGTAGATTGGGTAGCTGGTTTTGCAGACCTATTCGGCAAATGTTAAAAAATTTACATTCTTTAAAAACAGTTTTTTAATATAAACATGTGTATGAGATGAAAACTAAACATTGATGTAAATCGCTCAAATAATCCGTCGGTGTTACACAATTTGAAGAGATCCACAGACCCACAGACCCACAAACAGACAGGGCTATATGGACTCGTATAATGTTAACAAGAGAGAACGCTACAGTCGAGCAAGCCCGACAGTGAAATACCCTGTACCCAGGTAAACTTCCGTCACTGAGTTATATGCGCCCATAGCAGAAGTAAAAAGAGGAAGAAGAAGAGCGAACTTGTTGCTGCAGTTTGGGGGGGTTGTACTGTAGACAATTTGTTTCGCTAATAACTTTTCTTAAAATTAACCGATTTAGATGAAATGGATGACTCGCGATACGATACGAGTAGGAGATGACACAACTCGAACGGGCGACGATACAATTCGTGTTCCAGTCACGACACGCCTTGGAATTGAATAACTCGAGTAGATTGGGTAGCTGGTTTTGCAGACCTATTCGGCAAATGTTAAAAAATTTACATTCTTTAAAAACAGTTTTTTAATATAAACATGTGTATGAGATGAAAACTAAACATTGATGTAAATCGCTCAAATAATCCGTCGGTGTTACACAATTTGAAGAGATCCACAGACCCACAGACCCACAAACAGACAGGGCTATATGGACTCGTATAATGTTAACAAGAGAGAACGCTACAGTCGAGCAAGCCCGACAGTGAAATACCCTGTACCCAGGTAAACTTCCGTCACTGAGTTATATGCGCCCATAGCAGAAGTAAAAAGAGGAAGAAGAAGAGCGAACTTGTTGCTGCAGTTTGGGGGGGTTGTACTGTAGACAATTTGTTTCGCTAATAACTTTTCTTAAAATTAACCGATTTAGATGAAATTTAAAAAAAAGGTAGACTATTATGTATGAATTACGTATGCAAAGTTTGGTTAATGTAACTTTTGAAATGTGGACGGTATTAACGAAATTCTGTAGAGGGGGAAGGTTGGAAAATTCCAAAAATAAAATAAACTCATCCTTTCTCGGACACAGGAGAATCTGGATACCAACTTTGGTTATTCTAGCTTTTATAGTTTCTGAGATCCTTGCGTTTATCCAGATATACGGACAGACTGACAGGCGGACGGACATGTCTAGATCGATTTCTCTCGTCATGCTGATTCAGAATATATATACTTTATGGGGTCAAAGATGCTTCCTTCTGCATGTTACATACTTTGCACAAACCTTATATACCCTTTTTACCCTACGGGTATAATAATATACCCTTTTTACCCTACGGGTACAGGGTATAATAATATACCCTTTTTACCCTACGGGTACAGGGTATAATAATATACCCTTTTTACCCTACGGGTACAGGGTATAAAAGGAGGAAGAAAAAAAGCGAACTTGTTGCTGGAGTTTGTGGGGGTTGTACTGTAGAGAATTTGTTACGCTAATAACTTTTCTTAGAAATAACCGATTTGAAACTAAAGTAGACTATTATGTATTAATTATGTGTGCAAAGTTTGGTTAATGTTACTTTTTAAATGTGGACGGTATTCCCGAAACTCTGTAGCGGGGGAAGGGGGGGAATATTCCAAAAAAATAAAATAAACTCGTCCTTTCTCGGACATAGGAGAATCTGGATACCAACTTTGGTTATTATAGCTTTTATAGTTTGAGGTCCTTGCGTTCATCCATACAGACGGACAGACGGACAGACAGACAGACAGACGGACGGACATGTCTAGATCGATTTCTCTCGTCATGCTGATTCAGAATATATATACTTTATGGGGTCGGAGATGCATATTACATACTTTGTACAAACCTATAAAAATATACACCTAGCCCTCTGTTGATACGACCCCTTAATACGATCTCGGTTTAAGACGATTTAAAATTTGCTACATTTTCTGTATTAACAAGCTAAAAACCTCGTTCTTACACGATAGAAGTTGGACAAATTTTTAAAAGAAAAGTATTACCTTAACGCACTTTTATTTTTCTGATATGACCCAGGATGTGCAATTAATTCATCCATACGCCATCGAGATTAATATAAGCCATGGATTAGGATATAATAGGTACTTTCAAAACATACTACTACCAGTAGGCGCTTCTTAACCAGGATTTCGGATACAACTGAAACTCATCAATAATCATTAATTGCCTCTAGTTGTTTATTTTATCTTTAAAAGAGCTTAAGGAGGCAACCTTGAATGGATATTAGGAGAAATTATGACCAGTGGTTGCTTAAAGGCACAAAACTAAAGTTATCATAATATGAAAATATATATTTAATTGAAGGTGCAGAATTCGAAGTAATGCTGCAGGTGCCTCCGTCCCACTAAATTCTAGCAAGCATCAAGTATTCATCAAGTTCGCTATCTCGTCGCCATTCGCCATCCGCCCTGGCACTGAACGCAGCGTGGCCTCCCTGCATGCATAGATAATCACGAGGCATAAAAGGTAACTACTTGTATTCAAGCATCGATAGCGGCTTGAAGTTGGGACCAAAACGAATAGATTAATAAAAAAAACAAGAAAAACAACGATGCATTAGACGAGAATAGGGGAGTTTTTGAAATGGAAGACGAGGTTAGCGTTTTCCAGAAGAAAAGCAGACTCCGCGATTTGGACAGCATTGCGGAGGTGGACGAAGTCATATCCGCTCTAAAAATGGCGATAGGCAACGCTGAACACAACTTCGAAGTTCAATTGTCAACAGTTCAGAGTAAAAGCGAGCATTTATTTTATTGCCTGCAGATAATGCAGCTAAGATCCTCAAGGAAGGAAGAATAAACATAGGTTGGACGCGCTGTCGAGTAAAACTGTGTATCGACATCAAGCGCTGCAAATGCTCAAATACTCCCGGCGTCGGACATTTACAGAAGGATTGCGATGGACCAGATCGGAGGGAGCTGTGCATTAGGTGTGGAGAGAAGCGACACTAAATGAAAAGTTGCACAAAACCACAAAAAATTTGCCTTTGTGCACGTGAAAAAAAGAAGGAGCTCAACCACCTCCCAGTGGTCAATAACTGCGCTGACAGCAAGAAAAGGAAAGAAAATATATAAGAATCTTCAGGCAAATTTACACAGGTGCCGAACAGCAGATTCCCTTTTTTCCCAGATAATTGCAGAACAGCAAGCCGATCTAGTGATTATCAGCAAACAGTACCGCTGGAAACAAAACGGATTCTGGATTGAGGACAATACAGGAACAGCCGCTATATGGATCGCAGGCGCAAGTTCCGTCAGTCATTCAAACCATGGGGATGGAAATGACTTTGTTTTTGCAAGATTCAAGGACTGCAATATATTTATCTGCTATTTAACATCAGGTGATGACATCCAAACCTTCCTGGACAAACTTGATGACATAGAGAGCACAGCCCGCAAAATATACTGAGATCATAAGATCGGGGGATTTTAACTCTAGCTCTAGACGCCGCACGGTTCAAGACATAGTCGCAAGATTAGGACTTGTGGTTGCGAAAATAGAGTCAGCTAGGACATTCAGAAGAATGGGGAGTGACGGCACTACACCGGATATAACCCTAGTAACGGAGGACTTGGCACACATGATAGCAGACTGGAAGGCCTTGGACACATATAACGGAAGGGACCATGAATATATAACTTTCGGGCTAAAAGAGAACAGGACGAACGATGCTGTAAATAACACATCACGACACAAACGGAGAACGAACGTGAAACAAGGCCCTCCTAATCAACACAATTGATAGGAGGGTGACTGACACACAGGAAATGAGGAGCGAGGCCTGCGATGCCAAAGACGAGCAACGCACACAAGCATGGCCAAGAAGTTTACTGGAAGACCGAGGAAATAAAACTGCTGAGGGAAACATGCAACAGAAATAGACGCCTCCTTATCCGAGCAAGACGAAGAGGGATTTTATAGCACAAGAGGAGCAACATAGACTATCCAAGAAGAGGCAATATAGAAAAACAGCAAACGACAATAGTGGAAAGAACTTTTACCAAACAAGAAAACTGCATACAATGCGGCAGAAGTCGGAAGATACGTGGAGTCAGTCACGCTGGAGTAACTCACAAAAGCCGCAAGAAGCCTAAAAAATCGGAAAACACCAGGACCCGACAATATCCCGGCAGAAGCGCTTAAAGCTATAGCTAAAATCTGACCCAATATCTTACTAGATATTTATAACCCGTGCATCCAGAATGGAATATTTTCCGACCCTTGGAAGCTGCAACGGCTAGTGGTCGGCTTATCGACCACTGTATATGCTTAACACAGCTGGAAACTGCTAGAGAAGCTAAGAAAGCCTCGACTAGCAGCTGCTGTCGAAAGTGCCGGTTGTCTTTCTCCGAGACAATACGGCTTTAGACCACGCAGGCCTACAATCGACGACAGTCAGGTGGTCAGCGCGCACCCGAAACTGACATTTGGAGCACAGCTACAGTACGCAAAAACCAGGGCAGTGGTGGACCTCTGCTCAGCTCTTGCGTTCTTCCTTTTAATAGCCTGTACCCATAGGGTAAAAGGCTATACAAGTTTTGTGCGAATGTAATTAACACACAGAATGAAGCGTGGCAGACCCCAAAAAGTATATATATTCTTGATCAGAATGACAAGACGAGTCGATCCATGTCTGTCCGTCTGTATGACTGTCTACCTGTCCGTCGGTCCGTCCGTCCATATGAGAGAGAGAGTTGTTGTCAGTGAAAGGCGCGTTTGCTTGAGCTGTGTTCTCTGTGTTTTTTTTTTTTTTATTATTATTATTTTTGCCTTTCAAATCAGCTTTGAGTTTATGTATTATTGTTTTACCGTGAGCATTTAATGTCTATTTGACCAATATTGTGCTCAGTTTAGTAGCTGTACATTTAACAGGTATTTAGTTCATAATTTTATTGTTTTGTCAGTGCACTGTATTTTATTTTTGCAATTATATCGCTTTTAAGCAAGTTTGCGGTAGCCCTCTC